ATTACGTGCAGGTAACTATTAGACTACAGGACACTACATATAATGCTGCATTTCTCCAGTACTAAACATAAACCTAAACCACTGCTTATGTAATCTTTTTTGTTTTCAGACAGTGCTGGAAATGGATTCAAATGTGATCCCACATGAGTTCATTTTTATTGATGAGGCTGGCTTCAACCTTACCAGAACCAGAAGAAGGGGAAGAAACATAATAGGTCACAGAGCTATTGTGAATGTTCCTGGCGTATGTGGGGGAAACATCACAATGTGTGCTGCCAGGTCATGGAGTTCTATACCACCATGCCATTCTTGGTCCATACAACACAGGGTTGATCCTGACATTTCTGGACAGATTGAGAGACATCGTAGAACAGGCAAACCACACAGATGATGAAGGGCAACAGCACAGATATGTTGTAGTGTGGGACAATGTGGCTTTTCATCGTGCAGCCATGGTGCAAAATTGGTTTGCCAACAACCCACATTTTATAGTGGTTTACCTTCCCCCTTGTTCTCCATTTCTGAACCCCATAGAAGAATTCTTTTCAGCATGGCATTGGAAGGTCTATGATCATCAACCCCATGTGCGTGAGGGGCTTCTACAAGCAATGGAGGAGGCATGTGAGGAAATTGACATAGGAGCCATCCAGGGATGACAAGACACTCCCGACGCTTCTTTCCTCGCTGTCTAGCAAGGGAAGATGTCGCATGTGAAGTGGATGAGGTGCTGTGGCCAGATCCACTGAGACGACATGACGCTGCATAATCTTGTTTCGTTTTTCATTTGTTTTTTCGTTTGCACGTTTCTCATTCTGTTCTCCAAAGGTTTAGATTTTGCTGAATTGTACAGTAATATGGCTTTTGTTGGTTTTTCTGTTGCAAATTGTAGCTAAATAAATGATTTGTTGGAACCTAATTTATTTCTGCACATATGTCTCTGTGTCCAATTCTCAGCATTTGCAGTTCTGACAGTCCCTAAAGAGATAAAAGTGTTTTGGATTTTACATAGTGGTGTTTGGTTGGTTGGAGGAAAAATTTAGGCATGGGAAAGAAATGTTTACTATTTAAGAACATAAGAACATAAGAAC